CCCCCACTTGGAGGCATATTTTTCAGGGCCAAAAAGTCGTCTTATACGCCGGCAAATACGGTAGTTAATGTGATTTTTGTTATCAAGTGAGATGTATCAACATTTAAAAGCTCTTACACAACTCAATGGATATTTTTCTAATGACTAATGAATGATGTTAAAACTACAAAATCATGCACTGGTAAAAGAGCCTTTTGAACTGCAAGATAAATCCATGGATTTTAATGCATGAAAGTACAAAAAGTCAATTGATGTATTCAGATTGCACATTGCAATTAACCTTTAAGAAACTATCACTTGAGTTTTGGTGAAGTATCAAAAAAATATCCACAATTATCTGAAAAGGCAAAATATTCTTATCTTTCCCAACAATGTGTGTAAAACAGGACTTTCTTTATATACTTCAACCAAAACAATATATTGCAACAGATGAAATGTAGAAACAGATATGAAATTCCAGTGTTTAAGCCAGACATTACAGAGATCTGCAAAAGTATATAATAATGCCATTCTTCTCACTAAATTGTTTTTTTTGTTTTAAAAAAGTTATTTTTCATTTTAAAAATGCTGATTTTGTTAACATGGTTTGTTGTTTTTTAAATACGTATTTAATAAATAGAGTGTTTTAATTTCCAGTATGGTAAATACTGATAATTAACCTATGTAAACAAAGCTCATAGAGGAAAAAACTTTTGACATATAAAGCGGGGCTCCTGAGACCAAAAAGTCTGAGAAATGCTAGTCTGAATTACCTTAGCATATTTTAAGTGATACAAAAATCATCTGTGGATGGTATCATAATCTCTTCCTACTTAGTTTGGCTTTGTATTGGAAAAGACTGCAATCAGGGGACATTCTACACCTAAAAATAACATCAAACAAATGCTTCCCACCATTTTAAGCAGTGTTGGTAACTGTATTTCTTAATCAATTTTCATTTGTATAGAAAATATATATAGTATAAATGTAGGAAATAGCCCATTCATTTGCTTTCCCAAAAATGGCAAAGAGAGAATACTTAAGTCCAAATAAAATAATATTGTGTCATTCCATGATTTACTTACACTGGTTCCCTCAGATTTGGAAGTTATGAGTATGTAATTCTCTTTATCAAAGGGCATTTTAATTTCTAGGCTACCCATCTCTGTTACAAAGAAAAATTCAACACTTTATATGGTGAACAAATTACTAAAATGAATCTTTAAACTGTCTTCTGAAATACTATATAACTCTGTTTTATTTAGAAAGAATCCAAAGTCTGTAAACAATGTGTCTAAAAAACTCCTCAAAGCAGGCCGGCAGAGTGGCGCGTTTGTTAAGTGTTAGCTTTGGACGCCAGCTCTGAGCAACAGGGCCCCTGTTCGGATTTCACATGAGGACCAGCGACACTGCGCCCTCTACAGCTAAGATGGTGAACAACAGCTCTACCTGGAGCTGGGCTGCCATGAGTCGCCGGCGACGGCAGAGGCTGCAGTGGAGCTGCAGTGGACTCCCATAAGCTACCATGAATGGCCAGCAGCCACTGTGAGCTGCTAAGAGCCACCGTGAGCTGCCATCCAATGGACAGTGACCGATCTGCCTCACCCAGGAAAAATGCAATGATAATACCAACATGGGCCAGTGAAGCGACATCCTCCACAACTAGACTGAAGAACAAAAGGACAGCAACTTGTCTGTTCCCTAACCCCAATTCCCCCAATAAAATCTTTAAAACAAAACTCCTCAAAGCTTAAAAAACCCTTATGTGTACTCTATTTGGTCTTATAATGCAAATATCTACTTTTGTTTGCCATTTTCCCAACATTAATTAATTATAGTAAACAACCAATAAAAAGTGAACCCTTAATTTTTAGAAGTCTGATCCTGTCCTGAACAATAAGCATTTACCACCAAGACCCTGGTCTTATTCAAACCTTTTTCCCCCTCATCAAAGCAGCTTTATAATATATGTATATGCAAGCTTCTTCGTGACAAGTGATCGAGAAGTCATCTCAAAGGAGGAAACAGTATTTAAGACATGTCCATAGGAACAAAAGGAACTTGCCAGAGGATCCAGGGTAAAGGGCATTCTAGGTAGAAAGGAATAGCCTATACAAAAGCATACAGGCTTCAAACATCATGGTGTGTGCAGAAAACAAGATAACTGTTAGAGCAGAGATGGGATGTGAGAAATAGTAAATAAGACAAAATCTGTAGTTGCTGTTGTTTGGATTTCATTCTGTTGGTCATTAAGGAGTCATAAAGTAGCAAAGTGACACGGATTTCAATAATTAGATTCTAGTTATTAGAGAGATCACTTTTTAAATATACAGGATGAATTACAGACAGAAAAAACCTGGAGGCAAAAAGACCAGTAAAGGCTAAGTAAAGGTGAGGCATTAAGGCCTTAATCACAGGTCACATAATTAGGGAAAAAGGGTTAGAATTGAGAGAATTTTAGGAACCAAGAATAACAGAACTTGGAAATAGAAAAAATGTGAGAATGAAGAGGAGGAACACATGAAAGAAAATTCCTTCTTTCCTGGCTTCAATAAACAGCAACTGAATGGAAGGAATTTTAATTAAATCAAGATAGCAGAATAAAGAATACTGGGATAAAGGACAGACGGCATGAAAAAGAATTCAAGTTTAGACATACTATGGTCAAAAACCAATGGGGCCTGGGACAGGGAGGGATAGCCAGTAGAGATCTGAAGAGGGAAGAAACTCAACTTGGGATCATTAACAAAAAGAGCAATAAAAGCCATGGGACTGGATCACCCTTTGAAAGTATGTACATAAAGTGTAAGGTGGGGGGAAAGCCCCAAATCAGAACACCAGGGAACACTACCATGGGAGAGGGTGGGGGAAGAGGAGGGAAAGAAGAGCCAGGGTAGGAGGCTGAGCAGGAAAGCACAAAAGCGTAGAACTAAGGAAGAACGTTCACAAAAGTCAATGGAAGACAAAATTCTAAAAATCAATGGTAAATACTGTCGAATGTTATGGACAGATCAAGTAAGATAAAGACTGAAAAGTTTAAATTAGATTTATCAATTATGTCATTAATGGTAACCCTGACCTGAATTATTATTTTTATAATATTATTTTATAAATTATTATTTTTATTTTATAATAATAAAGGAGAAGGCAGATTGCAGTGCTCTGAGGAGTGTACAAAAGATTATAAAGGAGACAGATTGAGGGTGGGTTTTCTTTTATTTCACCCTACCTTCGCAATTATTTATCCATTCAAACACAAGAGAAACTAACCCACCTCAGAATAAAAAGGTCAAGAAAAGAACGGGCAAGAAAAGTTTGTGACAAAGATTCAGTACAATTTAAATAAAGAGGAATTCAAACCAAAACTGGCTTAATAAACAGTTTTCAATGAATTTTTAGTAAGAGAAACTCAGAGCATTAACAGACTTACTAATGTAAAGCTTAAGTGAAAAGTAAGAGTGTGTAAATTCAGAGGACATATTGAATGAGAAATAAATATTAAAAAGGTATTGAAGTTTTATGTCTGTATCAATTGATCTTTATCCTTTTTCTTTAAGAACTTCTATTGAACATAACGAGGTCTGACAATTAAGTTTGCAAACTTGCTGCAACAATATTGCTAACCTTTTTTGATATCAGAGGGACTATTCATTATGAATTTGTACCAAGTGGACAAACAGTTAACCAAGTTTACTATTTGGAAGTGCTGAAAAGCCTGCGTGAAAAAGTTAGACGACCTGAACTTTTTGCCAGCGATTCATGGCTATTGTATCACGACAATGCACCAGCTCACACGGCACTGTCTGTGAGAGAGGTTTTAGCCAGTAAACAAATAACTGTATTGGAACACCCTCCCTACTCACCTGATCTGGTCCCCAATGACTTCTTTCTTTACCCAAAGATAAAGGAAATATTGAAAGGAAGACATTTTGATGACATTCAGGACATCAAGGGTAATACGATGACAGCTCTGATGGCCATTCCAGAGGGTTCCTAAATTGCTTTGAAGGGTGGACTAGGCACTGGCATTGGTGCATAGCTTCCCAAGGGGAGTACTTCGAAGGTGATCACAGTGATATTCAGCAATGAGGTATGTAGCACTTTTTCTAGGATGAGTTCGCGAATGTAACTGTCAGACCTCATATGACATTTCATAAATATGTTTGCTGAGGATTTTATGGATATATAGTCCTTTTTTAAAAAAAAAAATCAGGTTAAGTTTCCCTCCAATTCTAATTTGCTAAAAATTTTAAATAGGGATGTATATCAAATTTCATCCAAAAAGAGGCATTTTGTACATTTTATTTGCCCTTCTAAATTACAAGTAATTTGAAGGAATGCACTTTTATTCCTTTTGAAGCCTCCAATTTAGCATACTAGAATGACAGTAAGTACTTGGTATCTGATTGATGAATATTTATAAATAACCTGGTGCTCAAACCAGAAGTAATTGTGTTTTTCAAAATCATACACACACACACACACACACACACACACATGTATTTAAAAGCACAGTATCCAAACAAAAAACATGTTAAATATCACAAAAGTTTACAAGGGAACCCAAGTTAATGTTCTAATAGTAAACAATGGAGGTGCTGACTTACAATTTAGAAGATATGTGGACTTTATGTGGAAATTAATAAATTCATTGCCTTAGCAATCATTTAATTTCTTTAAATGGTTACATGGAAAAAATACAAATTATAGCAATAATAATACTCCTCATGTTAACACAGAAATTGGCTAAACAGAAGTACTAGGTTGATTCTGAAATTCATTAAATGACCTCATGAGAAAGAAACCCTACATTCTCCACTTTAAGATGATGCTTAAATAGAACAGAAACAGCAGGCATCCTATGACCAGCTGGAGAGCATGCCATTAATTTAATCAACAGTTTTACTGAAAATAGATATCAGAACAGCAGGTAAGGTCACTTTTCAGCTACCCTCTTACTTAAGATGTATTTTGAATGGCTCTAGGGAAATGCTGCTTTTAAGACGATGAAAACAGTACACCTGTGAGCCACCAATTGCATCAATTTGTAAAGACTACATAGCAAATGTTCCCCATGTCAATTGTACAAAATTATACTAAAACTAAAAAGATGTAAAATAATTTTGACCTAGTATTCAATTTAATTGTGTTAACACCCTAACTGAAAAGCTCATTCTAAAGTATCACGTAATTCTCAAAAGACAATTTAAATCAACTGGTTTAAAAAAAAAAAAAGTATTTAGAGAATGGGTCTTCAAAATAAGGCATTAACACATCATCAAACCTGGAAATAACTGCTTATCAAAAGATCAAGAAGACAATATACTGAGTAAGTTTTGAAAACATAATTCTACTGGTTCTTCCAACGTATTTTTGTCATGTTAACATTAAGATGATAATTAAATGTATTGTGGAAAACCTCATTTCCCATACATCTTTCCTTAATTATGTTTTTCATAATGTAATGAGAATACAAATAATATAAAAAACTGCTTCACAATTAATTCTAACTCTAACTAGAATCCATTCACTAAACAAGTAATTACTGAGCATGTGGCCAGGCACTGTTGTTCTATGGGGTGAGATTATAGTCGTGAACGAAACAAAATATTTGCCCTCAAAGGCATTACAACGGGAGAATTGTAAACAATCATATTTTGTCATTATTTTGAACAAAAATTCACAAACTTAAAATGGGAAATTGGTTTATAAGATAATAAAAATTTAAAAGATTTTTAAATCATATCAAGAATCTTTCGTTAACTGTTTATATTTAAACTTACCAACGCAAACCGATTGACTTGAATGAAGAGTACTTCTACCTCCTTTTCAGTAACTTCACTCCCAAAGCCCTTATACTCTTTGTAGGCTTCAAGGTAGGAACGCAGCCACTGGCCCTGAAGCTCTCTATCTGGATAGAGACTATAGTCTACATCACTCACACCTAAAATGAAAAACAAGACACTGAAGATTTTAAAAGCACATTCTCTTCTGCATACGTTAATAATCCTTATCATCTACATAATTTTTCAGAAAAAAAATTACAAGATATTTGGCTGAAATGCTAGATGTTAAATAGCATTTATTAAAACAATAAACCATTCATAATGTATTCCAACTTAAATTCTAATGCACAATAAGTTAATCACCACATTAGTTCTCACTGCTTCAATTTTTCCTAAAAGCGTAAAGCTTGAATTATCTGCATCAGAAGCACCAACTCTTCATTTTAATAAGTACCCCAGGAGATTCTTATGCACACTAATATTTAGAGCAATTCTTAGAACTGTGGCTCTAAAACTTTTTTGCCCATTACTAGAGTAAGAAATACATTTTATATTGAAACCTTATGGACACACCTTGATATTAAGTTTCACAAACAATATTTATCCTAACTATACCTTCTAATTCTGACATTTTCTACTTCTTTTATTTTCCATTCCTTGCTTTAAAATAATTACCCACAAATAGATTTCATGATCTGCAGTTTGAAAAAACTAACCTAGAAGGTAAAGTTCATACTATTTTGCCCAGCATTCAAGGTTTTTAAATTGGTCCAATCTTACTTCTATGGTCTTATAACCTTCTTCTCCTTCATGAATTTTATATCCTACAAAAAAGTACACTCACCTTGAAGTTTTCTTCCTCCTTCCTGCAGAACCCTCCTTTCTCTTCTATCTGGACATCCAAATGCTACCTTTCAAGTTTAGCTTTATTTTTTCTATGCTACCTATCTTTCAAGTTATAGGTGTTTTCTACCCAAAATTGTATTAAAATAAGTGGAGTTTCTTCCTTCATATCCACAACAGTGACTATCCTTAATACTAACACAGTGATAGCTCATTATATAAATAACTGCTTTCCCTTCCTACAGATATATGCAAATATATGCAGTACATATGTAAAGATATGGCATATATATAAGCTTGGTGGAGGGAAATAACTTTTCCCTCCAACTTTTCCCTCAACTTTATTTCCAGTCTGGTTACCTAAACTATATGAGAAAAATCCATGAATGCACAAATGTATACAAATACAAATTCGGCAATGAAAAATTCCTATTACATGTAAACCATCCAGGGGAATTACCTAATCTTTAGTTTTAGAGCATTTCATGTTTCTAAATACAGAATAAAATGTATTTTAAATTAATTCCACTTACATTAAAAAAAACTAAAACTTTCATACTTGACAGTGTTAACAGATTAATTTTCAGGGGCAAAAATGACCAGCTGTTTAATTAGTCATAGCCAAAGATTAAAAAAAAAAACTTAAGTTTTTTAGTTAACAAACATTCCAAAAGACTAAGTACACAATGGAAATAGCAAAGGCTTTTAAATGATAAAAAAATTGGCTTCAAATCTTAGTTCTTTAATTTTACTGTGACCATGGTGAATTACTTTCCTCATCCGTAGAGTGGAAATATTACCTGATTCATAGAGTTGTTGTAGAGAAAAATATAAGGTGACATGAGAATTACAAAGCACCTTGTACTATGTCAGGTCTTAATAGAAGCCACAATCATTATTTTTCTTATTTTCCTTAAGAAATAAAGGAAGAAGTCATCTCCTCTGTCCTCCAGCAATAAAGAAAAACCAATAAAGAACAAAGGTCAGGAAGAAGTTAAAACATGTTGCTCCTGATTCCAGTTTCTCTTCTTTAGAGAAAAAAATAAATAAAATTCCAAAAGTATCATTTCCAAGTTATATATGCTACTTACTCCATTAGTTATGCCCTGAATTTTACCTGCAAATTCATTGAAATGATTTCCGATATCATATGCCACGTAGTTGTATCCAGAATATTCATAATCAATGAACTGTACATCACCTATGTGAGACACAAAAAAAAGACATAAGAAATCATATATAAGATCAGATAATCCCTATGCTATTTGTAATAAAAGAGCTTCCAATATTTTGTCTCATTGTACGTGCTTGGTTAACATGCACTTCTGAGACAATACAGGGTAAGGCTGTGAATTTTATGGCAATGAGCTTTACAAAATTCAAATTATGTATCTTGGTCAACAGCTTCTTTGTGAACATTAATGTCCATTATATTAAAGAAAAGTCAAAATGCTGTATAGTCCATTCTCCAAGTTCAAACAAAGGCAAAATATGTTTTTCACCACATGGGGGCACCGGTTACTTAAAAATGCAAGTTTAATTAGAAATGAACAAAATCTTTGGAAACTGTTAATAATCTAAGCATTTGTAATAAAAAAATTAATCTTCAACACTCCAACAGTGAACTGACATGCTAATCTACATATAGGAATCAAATATAAACTTTGAAAGACTTGAATTCTGTCAACCCTGCAGTTATAACACTTGATCAACTTAATCTAATTTAAGAAGTTAGTTGCAATCAAACTTACATTTTTCTGGAATACTAACATAATTAAAGTTTCCCTTAGCATACCTGAGCAGCATTAAAGTGGTTGTTTTATCTTTAAAAGCAAAGGTACACTGAGTACTGTAGAGGATTTGCCTCAACAAAGATGTATGTTCTACTTTTTAAAAGAGAGACAAAAGAAAAAGTTAGAGAGAGAGAGAGAAAGAGAGAGAGAAATTAAAATGGGTCACTGTCTACACCAGGGATCACAAACTCAAAGGCTGAACAGTTAAAATGGATACATAAACAGGGATGACTGCAAGAATAGTTTCTAAGCTGCTTATATTGTGAAAATGAATAGCATATGACTAGTTACACTGTCTTAAAAATCAGGCTAAGGTAACAAAACAAATTGCTGGTCTATACACAATGGCATTTCCCCCAAAATGAGCTCTGGAACTATGTCTTGATATAGATATATATGTTTAATTTGGGGATGTAATGTTGATTATATATTCAAACTCAGAAAAACAATTTTATGACAAAAAATGTCATGGCAAACGAAGTATTTTCCTTAAAAGCAAATTTTAATGTAATTATATTTAATATCTAATTCTAAACTTGTATAAATAATAGTCAAGTCTAGAGTAAAATTAGTGAGACTCATCAGTAAAGTAAGTGAGAATCATCAAAGTAGCAAAGCCCAGATATCAAAATCTACATGCATATTGACAAAATATAAGGTTATAAATGTTGGTGACTATAATAAATCACTGCAATTCAACCATCATAAGTGTTATATTCTTGAATTCACAAAACACATCCCACAGAAAGTCTTAAAGTTAACCAAATCATTTTACAAGTGTAGAATAGAAAGAAGGAATGTGTTTTAACCAAATCACTTTATTAAATTGAAAAATGGGAAGTCAGAACATGTTTTTAAATTTTTTCTAGGCACCACTGGGAATGAGAGGGTGAAGAACACCATCGTGATAAAACACTTTGCAGCCATGAAAAAATATTTCATTTTCAAAAATGATTTAATGACGAGAATTACAAATGTTACATGAAAAAAGATACAAAATAGTAAACGTAGTAATCCAAGTTATTAAAATATTATGCCTGAAGAGAAAAATAAATAAATAATGCATAGGGAAAAAAAGATGAATAGAAGAAATAAACCAAAATAAAATGTTTCAACTGGTTTCATTACAGGTGTTAGACAAAGCGACCTTTATCTCCTTGTATTTTAAATTCTTTATACAATAAACATCCCTTTTAGGAGGAAAAAACTGACAGTTTAAAAAGATTAAGATGAATTCTCTAAACAAAGCTGTCAATAGGTAAGAGGCTAAACACAATGATTTGGGAGATATTTATCCAACAGGCCTTCAAGAAATCAGGATTCAAGATTTACCAAGTTGCACAACTGAACCAAACAAACAGTTTTAATATATGAATTTTTAAATTGCAGCTGTTGATTGTTTTAGCTCTCTAAACACAAATTCTTGTAGAGCTCATATTAACTTACATGCCAATAAAAATACACAGCCCAGTCCTGAAGCTTACTTTTGCCACATAAATAAAAAATTTTCAAAATTATATTTACATTTTGGGAAATATAGTTAAAATGGCAGGTAAAACATGACTGATTGTAAATACAATTTAAATAAAGCATAGATCATTTTAACAAAAGTTAAAATCCGTTTGAGTATGAAAATTTTAGCAATGACTTTTTGTAGTAGCATTAATTCATTAAAACTAGCCTTTATTTTTTTTATGCTATGTTGAGCTTATAAATAATGAAATTTAAAAAATAAGAAAATGAAGCTAACAAGATACAGATGAGGCTGTTACCAGGCTCCGTGCATGTGAACAAGTGATGCGATAAACCTCCAGTCAGTGCGTTTAAGAAGCACGGGGGGCGCCGCCACATGGCAGCAACAATGGCATACCTAATCTGTAGCAGATGAAGAAAATTTGGCAAACTCACATTTTACAAGACACAAAGCTTAAAAGGAAAAAAATTTAAAAAAAAAAATCTGCATTAACTATTCTTTTTTAAACTATTGCAAACCAAGTGGAACTCAACCTTAAATTTAATCGACTGCAACAAAGTAAAATTAAAGATGCCTACTTCCCTTATTTTGGGTGCCAGAAAAATCAAATTACTGGAAAATGCTTTCCTACCCACAGAAAGTGTACTGAATTTTTTTCTATAAATTTAACTTCTGACTTCTTAAATTTCCAATTATTTAGAGGAACGTCCACATCATTAATAACTAATAGCTCATATGGCATGATTATCTTCTCACTTCTTTAAGACTTGAATTTTTAGTTGGGGTTTCAAGGGTGGAAAAAATTAAGAATACTCCATGAAGTTTTACGTAAAATTTTATGTGTATATGCATTTTCTGCGGGGATTCTCTTCTCCAAATTCTCAAGGGATCCTTGACCTCTAAAAAGCTAAGAAGCAGTGCTAAGACTATATATTACTTATCTTCATATACTTAGCACACTGACTAGCATGTAATGGGTAAAGCATAAGATTAATGAATAAAACCATACTCGGAATTTTCAAAAGTTATTTTCTCTTATTACTGTATTTCTTGCCTATCTTCACAGTAATAAAATCTACACACTACTGAGTTAAATAAACTGTTCAAATCTCAGTATAGCTGAAAATAACTGGCCAATTTTTAAAGTACTTTAAAACCAAAAAATTGGTTTTTTAATAACTAAGGCTATTTAATTTGTATGACACAAAAGAAATTCTTTTGGATTTCTTTATTGTGCTGTTGTTAAGGAGAAAGGGATAAAGATAAAAAGCAAAATAACCAATATGAAAACCTGCCATCTTTCCAACTCACTCTATTTTCTCTGTAGTGTTAGGTAAGGCAGAGAGAACAGAGAGAAAATGTAACCATGATTACACTAATGCTAGCAAAATGCTTTCTCTCTTATACAGAAAAAAGGAGTACTCTGCCCTGGGTTACTTTCCTTTTATCCCTCACCCTGGTGTCCAGCAGTACCCTGTGTACACCTTCACCACAGTACTCATCATTCTGAATGCAAATATCTCTTCCATGATCTGACTCCTCCACTACATGGCATATGGCTTCCTGAAAGGGCAGTAGGTTCCTTTTATTTTTCATCATGCAATCCACAGAGCAATACATAGCACACAGGAAATATTAAGATGCCAGTGGAACACATAGTTTTTCAGAGAATGCTGAGACAGTAACACACATTTAAATGGGGATTGGAGGGAATAAGCATGAAATACTAAAGAACAAAGGGTGGCATTTTTGACATTTTTATTCAAGTATATGATTGAACATACAGTGGGACTGAATATGTGAGTAAAGAAAAACATTAAACTAGTAATGTATTTATGTAGCTCTTCCTTAATAGTTCAGGTTTTTACAGTCCATTTAAAGTTTTTTATTACTTGATTTGGGGATATTTTCTTTTATGTTAAATATGATCTAGAATACAGTTAAAACAATGTTAAGACTATTCTTCATAAAAATTCCACCCTGGAAAATATAGGTTACCAAATACAACAATAAATTTGTATTTACTTAAATTTTACAATACAACCAACAACTACAAAAAACTCTCCTAAGCCATTAAAATGTTAAAAAAAAGCAAACACAACCAAAACAATGCTTTTTCATGAATAATAGAGTGGATAAGATTTAGAGCCAAACAGGTAACTAAGAATGGTGACTCACCCATTTTCTATTTATAGTGTATGAAACTCTAAAAAATCTGGTTTACACTATAATTCCCAGAAAAAGCTACAGTTTTCTTCTGCTCATTTGTCTTTTCTTAAATAGTTTAACTCAGCTTAATGTACTTTGCTGACATAGAAAATAATCAAAATAACTATTACTGAAATTTAAAGTTATATATTAGCTCTTTATATGAGCTTTTATGAAGAAATGAAGGATGAGGGGAAAAAAATTGAAACAGCCACCAATAAACATGACAGCATCAAGACATGAGACAACAAACTCCAGTTTTAGCAATTACTTCTAACATGTCAGCAGCTAAAGGATTAGTTGAAATTAAAATATTAGACTTGAAGTCAGATAGGCAATAAGAAATATTACAATTTGATGTACTTAGTATAATTGTTTTTTAAAATTATTAATTTAAAAGATGACTGGTAAGTCTTACAGTTCAGGGGTAAGATCTGCTGCTTTTGGTTTTCTTATGTAACAAATCTTATCATCAAATCATTAAGTATTCTTTTCTTACCTTTTTTAAGATATCATTTCACTGAAGGCAAGGAATGGGCCACTTTTTACCAACCACCTAACTTCTGGGACTGACTAACTTAAAAAATATTGACAGCTATTATCAACTTCAGAAAGGAAGCTCACTCTTCTCCCATATTCCTGAGTCCTGTCAACTGACATGGTGAGAAGAGGTAGTGGCAGGATTTCTTCCTGTGATGCCTACCAGTCCTGTAATATCCACAGGTGAAAATGCCTATAGACTGCAGTGCAGAGTGCTCACAGAGGTCTCCATGTGTGTCTGTATGAATATGTACTTTTGTATACATACACGCATACATATATACATTTTTAAACTTTAAAATTAATCATTTAAGGTACAGTTTAGATACAATCTGTAAACTGCACTTAAAGAAACAAACTGAATTGTCATACCACATCTATGAGCCGTAATTCCTCTAATTAATTATAGGACACAGTTAACCTTCTGGCTTATAGTATCCATTTCATTTTCTCAGAACCAGATACATTTTATAAAATGCATCCTATAAACAAAATATAGGGGTTGGCAAACTATGTATGCTCAGGATAAATCCAGCCAGCCTACTGTTTTTGTAAATAAAAGTTTTACTGGAACATATTTGGAACACACATATTTATTTTACTCGTATGCATTATCTATGGCTGTGTTTACAGTACAACAGGATTAACAGTTACAATTGAGGCTATATGGTATGCAAAACCTAAAATATGTGCTATCTAGTCCCTTACAGAAAAAGTTTACCAACTCTTATCATGGTATAAATAACTGTAATTGAGAACTGCTAAGTACCTCGTCCACTGTACACTTTATATGCACCATTAAATTCTTGTCAGGGGCCATCTGAAATAGATATGATCTAAGTAAAAAATAAAGCAAACTAAAGTTCTAGACTATCAAAATATAAGCACTGTATGGAAATCTATTAAACATTTAGATTCCTAAGCCCATGTATAAAAATTCTTGTTCAGCTGGTCTTAGATGGGACCCTGCATTCTTTCCAAGTAACCTAGGTCATTCTGATGCAGATAGTCATGGATTAAATAAACACTTAATAAAGAGACAAAAAGACTTGTATAATGCTGCTTCCATATGTAATTAAGCAGGGATTTGAACCCAAGTGTGCCGGGTTCCAAAAATATGCTCTTTCTGACCTCTCTTGGTTGTAACTAAGCTTTAATACATTTGCTTTTAAGAGATAACTTAAGAGGGGTCAGCCCAGTGGCTCCGTTGGTTAAGAACGTGAGCTCTGAGCAACAGTGTCGCCAGTTCGATTCCCACATTGGCCAGTGAGCTGCGCCTGAGCTGAGATGCAGCTGAGCTGCCAACAGCTGGCAGGATGGCAACTGGACTTGGGAGCTGAGCTAGCTGCGCCCTCCGCAACTAAGGTTGAAGGACAACAACTTGGCTGTTCCCCTTCCTCAATTCCCCAATGAAATCTTAAAAAAGAAAAAAAGTTAACTTAGAAATTTTTTAAAATCTAGTTAAAATACACAAAATCTAAGTTATTATGGTTGAAAATACATACAGGGACTTCAAGATGGTGCCGTATAAATTCATTAAGTTTAACTAAAGTTTACAATTCTGAGAAATTAAGGGTATGAAACATACTACACAGATACTGAGCTTGATGATGTCAAGGCCAGTCTCTTGGCTTTCATCTTATCATTTTTACATATTTAATATCCATGGATGGGTACAAAATGGTGAAGCCCTGAGCTCAAATCACATAACTTAGAAAGTGATTAACAAATCAAACACATTTGTGAATATAATATTCAGCTTAATCATTTATATGTAGAAATTACTTTAACCCCAAGACTTAAGCCTTGGCTTTTAGATACTATACAAGGTAGCCAGTTAAGAAGGTAAAGAACTTAGTAGTATACACTTCTAATTTTAATTATACTTCTTGAGATTGCAGCTGTAAGTACTAATGCTATGCTACAGTCTGGTTTTTTGCTTATTAAATTTACTCAATTTATAGAATTAACATTTTTTAAAGTCTGAAGCACGGTATCTTCTCCTTATAATTAAAAACAATTATGTCATATAGTTATATTACTTCAAAACCATTAGCTCCTAATTTGAAATGGCATAAGATAATAATAAATATAACAAGCTTCTTGCCACACTTTCATGAGTTTTAGATTTTACCTGAACAAAATTCCAACCATATTTTCTTAATGCTTCTGTACTAACTAATCACATAAGAACAGATTTTCTTTTTTTAAGTCAATGCCATCGAGTCCCAAATAGCCTTCCTAATGGACACTATAAAACCAATGGTAAGGAAAAATAACAGAACATCTCCATAACTAACACACAAACATTAACTACAAAGACAACGAACACATGGTACAGACTTTTATGAAGAAGGGCAAACTCTAAGATATATATCAAAATAACTGTATTTGTTGAACTGTGAAACTCATTCTCTGTAGGGAAAAAAATTAGGCGCAGAAGTATTCATTAGGTAACTCTTAATAATATAAACAAATGACAACCTTGAATTCTTAAAGCCAAACTGAAGCATAAAGATTTTATTTTAAAGTACGAAAACTTTTCACATCACTGATCAGTGTTTTAGATAGGCAACTGGCTAAATTAAAATGTAAAAATACACTTTTTTATACCTAAGACAAAGTAATCTGATTTTTTTGGTCCCTTCTATTTTAGTTTTATAAACAAGTTTGTTTTGTGAAATGAATATGTAAAAGAAACATAAAATTATGAAAAGTTAAAATTATATCCCAAAGGAAATAGACTCTTTGATTAACTTGCAGTTAAAAATAAAGCTGAGTGTCCACTTCAAACGTAAGATGAAGTCCCTAACTCAAAATTCCATTATATAAAATAATGTGTTATTAGGTCTTACACTGAACTTAAAAGCTAAAACATTGCTTTAATACACAACCAATACTCGTCTCACAAATGGCATTGAGATTTGGTTACTAGAATATAATGTAGTACATATATACTATGACAATTATATATAATAAATGGACAATAAAAACTTAAAGGACACTGTCAAGTACTTAACATTTTAGGGTACACCTGAAGTTTAAAAAAATGATTTCACAGAAAAACTTCTAAACATTCAAAATAAAGATGTTAGCTCATTATATTTGTAAATAATAGACTCTCTAATTCACATTAAAATATCAAATATAAAAGGTACAGACATGTTTTTGAAAAACAGGTGCTTCAGTATACTACCCTTGACAGTGTTCTTTGGTTGGTTTTCTTCAATTTACAGCAAGTTAAAAATATTAACTTTTGCATTAGAATAGTCTCAACTTACAAGCTAATAAAAATGGTCATAAATTGTAATTTAATATAATTATGACCACTTAATCAGAATTCTTTGGCTTTAGTACTTTCACAATAGCACACTTGATTCAAAATAATCTTCCAACTATAATGACTTATCTTCAAAACTGATATCCTATAAAATGCAATAGCTTTAGCTTCACTAATCCTTCAACCAAAACTATATTTTTAAATAAACTGAAGGGCATCTACTGTTTAGCAACCAAACCTCAAACCACTTTATCCAATAATATAATACAGCCAAGTGTTTTTTAAATATGAAAACAGAATTTGAATACAGAAAGATATGATCACAGAAAACATTTTAACAAAAAGTATCACTGTCTACCTCAAAAAAATGTTAGAACTATTTACATCAGCTTCTTGATTATTACTTTAGTAGATGTAAATTTCAGCAACTACAAATAACATTTCTTCCATCTGTAGCTCTCTCCTAAGTATCAAAATATCTAACAAATCAGCACAATAAACAGGTAATAGAAAACCTGAACATATTTGTTTTTAATACTGCTGTCCTTCCTAACACTGACAAAATTTCTATATTTATAAAGCAGTACAATGTTAATTGTTTTTTTAATAACCCCCATTACAAGCAGGTGTATTTTCAAACCAAGAATTACCATATACGTTTTACAGTTAAATTTTTCAAAGTCATTTTTCATTTAAAACTCACTTTAATAGGAACAAAACTGTTTCTATTAAACCAATTCTAAGAAACATACTTTATACAAATATAAAGAAAACTTATATTCCTAATTTAGCAGTTATCGTAATTTTATAACCTAGAAGAAAATCTTTACAGACTTTTCATACACGTTTTCCATCCTTGCATTTGAATTAAATTTCATACAAAGATCAAAGGACCATTAAGAACATCATAAAAATCATCTCTACTTATGCTAAAGTCAAATACCTACCTTGTTTCTCATTGTAGATTATATTCTTACACAATAGGTCATTATGGCAAAGCACAACAGGTGAGCCCAGGTTGGAAAGAAACTCCTTCATCCAAGTCATCTCTTCCTGAAGAATCTGAGAGCTTGGGATATCACTTAGGAACCTTTTAGTTTTAAAAGAAGATTTATATCTTGTTTATATTAATGACATTTTTTTCAAGTTTGTTTAAGGGTGAATATCAATTTTAATAAATTCTTTCAATTTAATTGTAGACTCCTGAATTAAAATAAGCCGATTATTCCAAAAGCTGGAATAAAGAAAAACCTTTACAATGAACTTAAACATGAATAAAAAGGAAACTTGAGCAACAGTTAACATGCAGGGCAGAACAATAAAAAATATATCACTACAAAATTGAAGGGAAAAGTAACATACATAACTGATAGCTAATCTTTACTAAGCAGTATTCTAAATGTTTTATATTTAATCACCATATTATAGATAGAAAAATCAAGACACAAAGAGTTAAATAAAAAGGTTTAAGTGTACTATTTAAAGTTACAAAGACAATTCATTAAAGAACTAAAATATCTATGTCAAGTTTGGAAGGGTGACTGCAGTCTAAATCAGCTAAATTCACATTTCAAAGTCAACAGATATTATCTACTACTAATAAATCGACTCATATGATAATCATTCAGTAATCATTACAGTGTCATACAATAATCAAATAACAGACTTCTCATATTATTAAAGAAATTGCCCAGCCAGCATGAGCGGGAGTCCAGAAGCCGGCGACTGATCTACCTCACCCAGGAAGAGCGCAATGATGGTGCTAACTTGGGCCAGTGAAGCAACGTCCTCCACAACTAGACTGAAGAACAAAAACGATAGCAACTTGTCTGTTCCCCTTCCCCCAATTCCCCAGCACTGTTCCCATCCCCCCAATTCCCCAATAAAATATTTAAAAAAAAAGAAAAAGAAAAGAAATTGCCTCCAAGTAGTAAAGACTGGGAAGGGTGGGAGGTAGTATCGCAAGCTGTACTAGAGATCATGACTTTTTACCCTACATTCTTCTGTACTATTTATTATGCCATATTTGTATTAATTTTTATTAAAAACATAGGGTGCTACCATTAATTCTTCAATACCACTGTCAGGCTTACCAAATTGCTGTTAGTTTACTCTTTCTCTTCTTTACCCTTTAAGTCAAATTCTCCTCATTCTTTCTCAAGTCTCTCAAATTACCTCCTACTTTTCCATTTTATAATATAAGATTCTGTACACTGAATTTACTTTAATGAATTTTCCAATTCGGGGTGGTTGCTACCTGTATTTTTTCTATTACTGCATTTTTCTCTACACACAGCCTCCAAAAGTATGCTCTTTTCAAAATGGTGTAGCTGTTCAAGAATCTATTTCAAAAGTACAGAGTTGAGGGCTGGCCAAGTGGCACATTGGTTAAGAGCTGGCTTGGGACGCCAGTTCTGAGCAGCAGGACCCCGGTTCAAATCCCACATGAGGGCCAGTGACACTGTGCCCTCTACAGCTAAGATGGTGAACAACAGCTCGACCTGGAGCTGGGCTGCCATGAGTTGCCAGCAACGGCATAGGCTGCAGACCCTGCTGCAGTGGGCTGCCATAAGTTACCGTGTGTGGCCGGCAGCCAGTGTGAGAGGCTGGCAGCCTGCGTGAGCTACCAAGAGCCAGCGAGGGAGATCAGTCGCCGGCCTCTAGATGGCCGCTCACTGCTGGCTGCTGGCTACACATGTTAGCTTATGGCAACCCACTGCAGCAGGGCGCCACTCAGCCGGCCCTAGTTGTATATTTTCTATTGGGACAGGATGCTTTCGCCCTGTTATTAACCACGAGGCATCTTCAACTTTTCCAAAGTATCACCGACCTCAAGAATTTAAAGTAGGCCTAGGAGAGTCTAGGAAATATAACCCAAAACCTACCCAAAAAATTTTCTTTGAATAATAATTTTTTGAATGACAGCTAACATTTATTTAGCACTTAAATGGCCAGGCTTTTCTGACTACCACATACACATACACATACATACATACATACATACATACATACATACATACATACTCAATTAACCCTCACAAAAACTCTAAAAGGTAAATGTACTACACCCCCCTTTAATTTTCTGAAGATTCCCAATAGTCATTTTATTTTGTTTTCTGGTATTATTTATTTATTTATTTATTTATTTATTTATTTTTTAACATTTTGTGCTACTCTTGTTATTTCCATTTTACAGTTGAGGAAACAGGTAACTTGCTCAAGGTTAAAAAGCAGAACTGTTAATTGACAGAACTGAGATTTGATCCCAGGTCATCTGGTTCAAGTTTTGTGCTTTGAAACCATACAATGCTATATTACCTCTCACCTCTGTGTTATATTAAAAAGTCAATAAAGTCTTACATTCACCATTGTCATCTACTTCATCATTTTTAAGTGGTTTTCTCCAAAATCTTTCAATAAAATAGCTATTTCAAAAGAGAATTTTCTGTTTTTATATACTGTCACTTCCTAAATACCCAGCACACTGAACACACTTCTAGACATTTGCCTATCCCAGTTAATGACGTATAATATCCCTATCAAATTCAAAGTTTGACAAACTACCTGGAAACACAAATAGACACACAGAGTGAGTCAAAGTAATTTTGAAATAAACTCAACGGAACAATACAGCTATTTTTCCCTAATGAATTATAAAGCATGAAAAGAAACAAGAAAAAAATCCATAGTTCCACATGACTGTTGTGCTTAAAACAAAGACTTCCTGAATACAAAACTTGAAGTGTTCATGTATGTTTTAGATACAAAGACAAAATTAAATTTCCTATTTTTGTACTAGTATTAATCACACTATGTAAAAATGTTAATATAATTTAGATTCTAAATACAAATATACAAATTGTTTTACATAGAAAATAATGAAATAGTTTGAACCTGGGGAGTCAATCATACAAAATCTGAGTAAGACTCTAGTAAATGAATTTTCAACCTCATTATACGGGACTTCATTAGTCATAGTAAACTAAGACAACACAAACTTTTTCATGCTCTAATATTACTACACTACCCCAGGGCAGACCTCTAGACCTATGTAAAACAGTTCTGAACAAAGAAATTTTTTTAGAAAAGTCTCTATGGCTCATACTATACAAAAATGTACCCATTCACAGTCATCTTTGTATTTTATTTATTTTCAAATAAATGTTCCAATTTTACTTCTTGGCCCCTCACCTCTACCTACTCCCACACCTCCTGCTTTCGCAGGGGATTTTCACATTTTTTTTTGAGTAGGCTGGAGGAGAAGCTGTTATTTCTATAGTGCCATCTGAGAGTCAAATGAATCAATGCTTATTTTATTTAAATGCAAAAAGATAAACCAAACCATATTTTCTACAGAAACCTTAGTTATCTTTGAAATCCAATATAGAAAGCAAAGCAATGCAACATATAATTTCAAATATAAAAGTAATTTTACCTTTTATTAAGGTCTTCATCTACAAATCCTGTGGGAATGAGAGAGAAATACTTCCCCATCTTTAGCCAAAGATTAGATTTGGGAATCCAGCCATTATGTGCATGGATAGCATGAATTTTAGCAAGCTGACGTGCTATTAGCCTGTTTAAAAACAAAACAGCATAAAAAGAAAATGTTAAGCATCATACAGTTCATGTCTACCCACAGGTAAACTAAAATAACTAATGTGCATCTTTTAAAACATGATTTGATTTTTACCATATATGTGTAAGATTCAAAATAATTTGGCAAGTCAACTCTAACAACAAGAGTCAAACAAATGATTAAAGTATCAGAACGAAGAAACATACAATTAATTCAGAAATTAAATATTTTGTGCCAGAGAGGTTGAGTGTCTGGAAGTAGGTGGCCTATTCTGGTTACACAATGTTTGGGACCAAAAAAACAATACACAACTACAGATGATTTCAAGGCCTATATTAGACATGAATTAGAGAAACATTTAAATTGCACTGAATCATTTTATTTTGAGCCTTTGAAATTACTAACGTTAAAGGGCAAAAAGGGACTAAAACTAAAGTAAAAAGGTTATTGGGGAGTGAATGGGTTCTATGAGTTAATTTTTATAACTGTGTTAAAGACAAATTCTCTGAACAAACATTAGGATTTTCTGATGTCAGAATCAATCTTCTTGACGCAACCACAAAATAATTTTAAGCTATGTATACCTGTGTCCATGCTATCTTTATATCTATAGAACCTAGTACAGCAAATGAGCATACCAAACAGAAATGTTACCAAACAGCCTATAGACTAGTAGATGGACAAATGACTTAATAGTAATCCATAAATTAAAGAACTTAAAACTGTTCTATTTTCAAGGTGTTAACCATCTAATGTAATGCTCCTCAAAGAACAGTTCTAGGACCTCCCACACAGGACCATCTAGGAATGCCTGAGGTCCCACCTCATATCTACTCAATCACAGTCTCTGGGGGTGGGCCCTAAGCAAACTGTATTTTAAACAAAATCTCCAGGTGATCCTAAACCACTGTAAAGTTTGAAAAGCACTAACATAATGCTCTTCAGCTTGGTTATGTACTAAAAATCAAATTGTGGAAGCTTAAAAAAAAAAAAAAAGAAATCAGAGGCCTGGGTACTAGCCCCAGAAATTGTGACTTAATTGGTCTGGGGTGCAGAAAGGGTATCATGATATTTAAAGGCTTCCCAGATGATTTTAATATGCAAAAATGTTTTGAGAACCACACAGCAAATTATAACATTACAGTATTCCTTCACCAACCTGAGATTCAAAAAGTTTTATTATATTTTTATACTATAGTGAATATTCTTATCTATCTAGTTTCTAGTAACAAGAGAGTCCTGATTTTCCTTTGGTGAAACTTCCACCCCCCTCATTTTTAGTTCATGTGGCTCATCGAGTTTACCTCAATCCTAACTCCATATCTCATCTGCAACACTAACTTAAGATATGTTAAGATATGATAAGAGTTAAGATATGATACAGACTTGCCCAGAGCATTCTATCCTTCAGGACACAATAATTGGGGTTCAGGGCATATTACCCAAGCTAGGCCAAAAGGATTTGATCCCAGGACTTTTCTTGAAGTTACTAACTTTGGTTGAAGCTATCAGAAATAGAGGACCCATCCTCCACCCGGCCCCAATCACGGGTGGCAATATTAATTAGATGAGTCTACAACTGCTTATCATTTAATTGCCACTCTTGTGTCAGTTACACGTACCAATAAATTCGTTCTTCTTTAAGTCAGTTTGAATTTTCAAATTATCATTCTCAGTCAAGAGTCCTAATGCATTACCAAAATATCAAAATCTGTAACCTTTTTTGGTATGTGTGCTTTGGTTCATACCTCTCAAACAAATTAGCAAATAAACATTTCTTTATATAAATTAAATACCTGCTACTTGACTAACCTTCCCCAAGACCACATACTCATGTCTAACAAGAATATATTTTTATGCCAATCTCTCATGTACACATAGGCCCAAATAAATATATGATACTTTCAGCAGCAGGAAACTTCAGAAAAAAGCCGGGTGATAACAAAGTCAAAACAAAGGAGGGTGCAAATAAACATACATACATACATACATACATACATACAAGGTCTGACAATTAAGTTTGCGAACTCATCCTATAATAGAAAAAGTGCTACATACCTCATTGCTGAATATCACTAGTCACTTTCGAAGTACTCCCCTTGGGAAGCTATGCACTGACACCAGTGCCTAGTCCACCCATCAAAGCAATTTTGAAACTCTTTTTCTGGAAGGGCCATCAGAGTTGTCATCATATTACCCTTGACGTCCTGAATGTCATCAAAATGTCTTCCTTTCAACATTTCCTTTATCTTCGAGTAAAGAAGGAAGTCATTGGGGGCTAGATCAGGTGAATAGGCAGGGTGTTCCAATACAGTTATTTGTTTACTGGCTAAAAACTCCCTCACAGACAGTGCCATGTGAGCTGGTGCATAGTCATGATGCAAGAGCCATGAATTGTTGGCATAAAGTTCAGGTCGTCTAACTTTTTCACGCAGCCTTTTCAGCACTTCCAAATAATAAACCTGGTTAACTGTTTGTCCAGTTGGTACAAATTCACAATATATAATCTAATCCCTCTGATATCAAAAAAGGTTAGCAACATCATTGCAACAAGTTCGCAAACTTAATTGTCAGACTGTGTATACATGTACTATACATGTATGAGAGAAACACATATATTTTAAGCTAGTAAGAACAGGTTTAAAACTTTAAGGATAGAGTTGGGACAAGAGACTTGAAGAAAGGTATGACACGTTACCAGAAGCTTAAGGGAAAATCTATGTCAACAGAACAATTATGTTCTAGAAATGTTTACTGAATAAACGAGACTGGTGATTCAGGAAAGTTTCACATATTAGAACAGGTACTTAACACCAATAAATTTTATTTGCTCTGATTTTAAAAATAATAATGTCATTTTTTAGTCTTACCCCAGTCTGTATGAAATTACAATTGATTTGCAAAATATAAAATGTAGTCTCAGAAGTTGTCTGATTATAATATAAGTTAGTCAGCTGGGAATGACTGGAATGACAATTCTATGGTAAATACTTCAGAAATGAATTAAATGACCACAACTCCAAGGAGCTTTTATAGGCTAATGGAGTCTGTTGCACATGAATAGCTGCTACAAGAGAAAGCAGATAGGAATTTTGAGAACCTTGACTTCTCTGACAGAAAGGTGGATAATTGAGCCAGAATTTGAACTGATTATGTAACGCAGTAACACTGCAAAGAATTAGTTGAGTTTTTATTCTGACTATGCCATTGTATTTTCAGTCTGAACTTAAGCAAATTATTTAATTTCTGAGTCTCAGCTTCCTTACAAGGAAAACAAAATTACTGGCCTGTTATATAATCTTTAAGTTCTCCTTCAAACCTAAAATTATCAGATTTTGCCATGTATAATGCACACTTTTTTGCCCAAATTTGTGAGGGAAAAATAAAGATGTACATTATACATGGATAGTACTAATTCCGTATCTATATAAATGTTTTAATTCTTTTATGTTTATGAATTAAAAGTGTAACTCTAGAAATCAATAACAATATCCATATGCAAAATAATACCCTGGAATATGATAATCAGTTTTGTTGAACTTACAACCAACTTGCAACAAAGAAGAGTTCTTGGCCTTTTATGATGTGTAAATATTGTAAATTTGTTACCAGTACATAAAATTTCTTGTACCATAATATGTTAAAAATACATGCTAAAATTCCTTTATAATACAAAAAACAAGTACCTAACTGTAAACAAATAAAAATTTTAATTAAAAAATAACAAAAGATGCTTTTTCCCTGAAAGTTTAGGCCAAAAACATGAGTGCACATTATGCACGGCAAAATATGGTATATGCCCCTGAATACCAGAAAAAAATTATATGAAAATTGAATTGATTTAAAGATTTAAGTTCAGTAATGACAATATGAACTACACATTCATATTCATATACGAAGATCCTATAGACTAACTTCCCATTTCACACAAATTTCCTACTAGTTATAATACAAATATTAAATGAACATAAACTATGAAGTTAACAAAATTTTCCAAATGATAGTGATTTTATCAAAACTTTATCAAATATAATTTTCTCCTTTGAACAAATATTACAGATGAAAATGAGAATTACTTTTATATGAAATTTTGAAAACATTTCTGCATAAAGTAATATATATCTACTCAAATGGAAAACTAAAATATTAGTGATCATACTACAGTAAAATTAATATTTGCAAAAAATCTATATCAAAACTTAAAAGCTAATTACTAATATCTTCAAAGTAAATTATAGATATATCTGCCCTATGTATGGATCCATTATTAAAATTAGATTATACAGGAGCAAAATTAATATTAAATAGCTAGCATCATGTTTACATAATAAATAAAAATATATTCAGAGCGTTACTTAAAATGTCTTGTAGCATTTTCCTACAAAATTCAAAATAGACTAGCAGCAAATAATAGTAATAGCTGAGATTGCTTTATCAATACTATTTAAGTACTACCACTAAGTTATCCTACAAGGGGCAAAGACCATGCCTTATTCTTCTATCTAGTCTAAAAACTCACCACTTATAAAAGGTACTTAACAGTTATTTGATGAATTAGAGTCATTATCTTGGCAACAGGCTCAAAGCATATTTAGAAATTTACCATAAGACCAAGGGATTCTCCCACTATTAGGTTTATTGTCAGGTGGATTAAAATCTACCTTGAATTTTTAAAAATCGCATATAATAAGAACTGTAACAAAACTAATGCCTTGCTACACAAAAACAAAGTAACCATCCATTTGAAATAGTGCCTGTTCTTTTCTAAGAAAGACGTTATCTTGTATAAGCTGCTTCTCAAAGTACAGAATTCAAGTAAACTTTTACAGGTCTAAGAACTACCTGGCCTATCTTTTCTGCAGGAAAACAAACAAGAAAAGGAAGAATATCTATTTCTAATACAAATATCCTCATGGAAATGGCAAATATAGTTCAATTACAATCATAGCACCTACATCCTTAAAACCTAGGCTTTGCTAAGAAAATTAACTAAGTCC